TCGTGCGATAACCGACGAGAAGCTTCGGTCGAACTTGGCCAGCAAAGGTTCAATAAATCTCGTAGTTCTAGGTTTGCTATTTGTCATCGTCGTCGTCATTATGTAGACTCTACCCGAAAACGCACTGCTTCCTTATGCTGAACGTATCAGAGTCCTATCATACGCGACAGCGGTTAAGTCAACGAAGATTCGTTGTTAAACCAATTTAACTGTTGCTGCTGCTGTTCGAGTTTCTCCAAATCAAGCTCTGTTGTCCAAGTAGGCCGAATTGGAGTGTATCATTGGTCTTATGTCGTAATCACAGTAGCGATGGCTAAGCGGAGCTGGCTGTATGTCTTTTTAATTATGCGTGTTTGTGTGTCCTGATCCTGTTTAACGACGAGCATCCGTCCTGCTATTACCATCGTCGCTGCTGTATTATTTACCCCCAATTGATCGCAGTTTGGGTTACTTTTTTTTACCCGTTTATTGTGAGACCGGACCACTAATCCAGCGGTTTCTGATAACTGGCTTGAGGTTACTACAGCTACCGGCCGGAAAATGGGCGGTGATCTAACCATGATACTCTGTGGCTGATTAATACTAGGTAGAACTCATACCATGACTAATGGCAACAAATCATTGTCAGGATGAATGAAACACTGGCGTACTGGAGATACACTGCCCACCTTTGAGCCTATGTATACCGCATTTTTTCCTTTCGCTTTCTTTGGCCAATCATAGTTCTTCATCGAATTTTTTCTGCAATATTTGTCCCTATATATGCTCGCAGAGTATGCTTTTCGAGGCTGTGTTTCGAAAAGGTTTGATCTCGCATGACTGTAAGGCTGCCGAAAAAGAGCTGTGATCAAGTATTTCATGCAGAAGGTGAGTTGCAATTCAATTAGTTGACTCGTAAGTGCTACGCTGAATATAGATCGAAAGCCATGTCAGCTATTTAAGGGCTAGCCCTTATAAGCAGAAGTAACTGCGGTATTTACCATGAAGGTAACACAAAAGCTTATAAACAAACTTAAATCCATGTAATGATTTGTTTGCGTAGCGGTGGTCGGGTCGTTGAATCGACGGGTAGACCACAACGATTCCTTTGCAGCTTGTGGCTTGCGATAGGAAAAAGCTTCAATGGTTGTGGGGGGGGCCTCGTCGCTTATCAACTCGAGAGAAGGCACAATAGCAGGAACAGGAGGAGATTTTCTCGTAACGCGTCCAGTGATTGTCCTACTAGTCTGTTGCCCACTCGCCCATCCGATTTATAGTGTAACTGAGCACATTAGGCCTCCGGTACCGATGTCTATCGGACGCCTCAAAGGACAGGCCCGATTCTCGGAGAACTGGCGGCAGTAGTAGCGGCAGACCAAAGAGCGATCGGCACTGAAGAGCACGGGTAGTTAAAGAGTTGGGAAGATGTGATTGTCATCTGTCTGTATTTAATCAGCTACTTAGCAGACAGTCAATGAAATAGCGACCAGCGATCCGAGTCACCCGGCAAAAAGAAAAGTGGCTCAACTGTAGAATCTGAAAGATCGCTGCCAGGCCACAACTAAATGCCCCTGCCCACCATAACCAAACAATGTTGCGTAGCAAATGCACTTCTATCGGTATGGACGGAATCATAAGGCGACTGCTGCAGATGGCTATGCCGTATTATCTAATACTGCCTTACGCTAACTTATTGTTTGATGCATGCCGTTTACTATTCATACTAATATCTAAAGCAATGTATAACGACAGCACCGGAAGCAGTACTCTAGACATTTTTATAGTTACTTTGCGAGTTTATTACATGCTTATTATCTGAGGAACGATAATGCGCATATGATAATAAAGGCAATGTTAGGGTAGTGAAGTTCATATTTCTCAGGCAAGTGAGCTTCATTCGACTGACGAAAAATTGGGATAGGCCTGCTTGGATTCGATTTGTGCGTAAGGGCTTGAGAAGTTATCGGCAATATTGTATAAGGACAATATTAGACACTGTCGTCTGTCGCTACATAGCGCTAATGGGACCGACTGTTCATTACCAAGCCGTCCTTTGAAATGGGTGCAAGAATAATTTCCCCAAACGCGCATCACTTGGTGCCATCATCCTTTGTGCCTCGCGTCGCTCCTACCAATGTAATTTGTATGTTTGCGCTACCTATCAATATGTGTAACATCTACGGTACCGCGATGGCCAACAACAATAGCGAGCGCAGACGTGCGCTTTGGAAGTCAACGACCGATAACGGCCCCCGAAGGGAATGCTACGGTGCATCAGAAAGCGGACAGCTGCTAACACGCGAGCCTTCGGTTACCTGGAGCAGGACATAGTCGTCGCAAGGTCAGCCGAAGTGATCGAGAAACCGCAACGACGCTTGTGATGCTTATTATAAACAGAAACGTGTAGAAAATCACAGGCAAGCGTCACGGAACGCTACAAGTATGTACTAGTCGCCATAGATTATTCGTTGTTGAGGTTAGATGCATCGCCAATAGTTTGATACGTAAGATTATTGGCGATTTCGTCGCTAGAAAGCTGAAAGACAATCAAAAGAAACGGGAGACAGCAACGACACCTGTTTTTCATCACCTTCGTTGATTGCTCTTTAATATTGTTGATTATCGTCTGAATATTGGCACCACTGACCAGAGCAGTTTTAAAGGCAACGGATAGACCGGTTCTGCTGAGATACGGCGGCGGAGATAACCGAGCGCAATGGCCAATACGTTAAGCGAACCGACTATGAACGCCTAAGATACGTTAGATTGTAACGAGCACTGGGAGACAGCATTTGATCGAAGTAATTCGCATGTAGTGAAATACTAGTAAGATGAAAATTCTGAAGATATCTATAGCCCTATTTTGTGGCTCCAAGCGGCCCATGGTTAGGTTGTGCTGGTGGGTCAATTTGAAAAACAAAGGTACGTCAAATCTCTGTTAATATATCAATATATTGGCCTGTTAATTAGGTTGAAAGGAGCAATGTCCACTAACCGTTCACTGTATCTAGCGCGCCGATACCACCAAAAGCCAACAACAAAAACAAACACACAATAAATTATTAAAAATAAATATATTACATCCAATTAAACCCATTGACATTTTTGTTACACACCCACATCTGGGTTCGCGTGAAGCGGTTTATGTAGCGTTTATCTTTGAGGCATCATACTGTATCATACAGAATGACAACGCTATTTGCGCACAATCTAGCCCGCTGCCGAAAATCATTCGGGTGTCCGTTTGTTCTTTGATGTTCTACTCCTGGATATGTCGCCCATAATGGTACACTGTCACAAACATTCGAATGGTCCACCTGGCTAGAGCCATAAGTATAACTCACATGTCGATATACACAAATATCTATTTTTACACATCGCCACCACGTTTGTGTAACCGACCGTTCTGGGCGCCCTGTCTGGCCAAATAGGTGCCACTCCTTAGCTTGGCCGTGACATCTATAATACAATCAGATACAAACGCTATAACATGGTCAATAGATTCTCTCTTCTCTTGACGGTAATGGGCCGAAACAATTTTAGGGGCTACAGTGAGGTGGTATGAGAACTGCGCAGTTGCTCCTTCTAATGCTTTGCGCAGGCCAACGGTCACTGAGTAGCCTTACGGGGGAGACTCATTAAGGGAAAGGCAAAACAACGTATCGGATATACTGTATACAGCAGAGTTGAAAAGGCGCTGTTTTTTTTACTTCTAGAGCCTTCGATTGGTAGGAGACCTAAGAGCCGAGGCCAATTAATCAGAGTCCTCGTCGGAGCTGTGATGAGATCCATGATGGAGTACTCGGTTGAACTATGGACCTATAATCGCCTTTTTCCCCTACCATAATGTAGTTGATTCTAGAGAGAAAACCGCTGTTCCGAATGACGTCCGATCCAAATAGCTGACCGGAACTTGCGTAGCAGCTAATACATGTCTATTGTTCGTTCAACCTGATCTGCTGGTTCCTCTGACCACTGCTGATATTTCCATGGCTGACTCTGAGTCTTAGTTATGCTTCTTCTAGCATTGCCGTCTTGTGTGGTCGACGGTGTGGCTGTGAATGCATCAGTTCTGGCGCCGTCCGTTGCTCGGTCGCCTGTCAATGTGCGGGCCGGCCTGCAATGTATATCTGTCTGTTTATTTGCCTGCTTGGTGGGGGGAGTCTTTGCTACAGAACATAACCAAGTTTGATTGTCAATGGCTATCTTTCGGCTGCCGCGCGGTTCCGAGGGCTACTATTATTAGTACGGCCAACTATGTGCACTAGCTATATAGAGCGAACATGTAGTTCCTCGTTTGTAACAGACGCTCACAACAATGACAAACTTCCTCTAATAGTTGTCATAGGGCAGAAGGAAACGGGGAGCGGCAGGCAGGCCATCTAGTCGAGAGAGATACCAATGTCGACGGAAACATTTTGCCGGCGTCCGCGTTAATTTAGTGTTTACTCCTTATCGACTTCACTGATGTTGGCAACAACTGTTACATCAATCATCCAATTTCTCTGTTTGTTGCTTACACACCACATATCCGTTAGCTGGTGAGCGAAAATAACGTTTTGCTATAACACACATTGAAATATTATTGGAGAGAAACGAAATCCAATAGTATAGTTCACTCAAGATTCAGAGATCGCAAAACCGATTTATATTACCACTAACACATTTGATATTCTTTCAGATTTCCAATACTGGCGCCGCTAAGCCTTACACAGAATCGAAGAGTCATCTAGCTACGTTTTATTGCCTATTTTTTTTTGCGCCAGCCAAACTGCTTAGAAGCTACCCAGCGGAAGGCAGTAAGTATATAGCCCTGAAAGCTAATGGCAAACGCACGTGCCTTCCATGCTGAGGCCATGGCACTATTATAAGAGCAGTGGCCCCTCTGCGTACACGATGATAAGCCCATAACCCAGAAACAGCTACAATGTACACACCAGCAGTAACAACAACATGGCAGTTCGGTAATAGCATTAACAGGTGCCACAGCCCATATCACAGAAACAAGACCGATCACTTACCTTTTTATAGCGCATCGTGCCTTTCGCAGAGAGATAGTCCATCACACGAGCAAGTTCTACAGTCCAACTGCACGGCGCACTGCACTTTGACACAGCTTTTTTCTATTTTTTTAGAGTAGAACTTCGTTTTTTTTATCGGCAGCACTCGAGATTCTTGTTTGGGTCGATTTTTAGCAAACTAATATTGAAAAACGATGTTTAATAGTCGGACGATGAATATTTCTGTGGTGGATTGTTACTATCGTAGTTTTTGTGTTGTTAACAATGATAGGCCAACAATCAAATAGATCAAAAAAGTAAGGTGAACTAGCGCTATCGGCAAAAATACGTACTACAATTATAACTATATCATGCTTAGGTAGAGTTAGACTAGGTGAACCTAATAGGAATTACTGAGTCGAAGGCACAACGCCCCGCTGCCTGAATGGCTGTCGGGCCTGGTCACCGGAGTAGCCTAATGTTCCTTGTGAACAGATTCATACAACAAAGGTGACGAATTAGCAAACGGGCCTCCAAGAAAAGATAACTGTCGGTAGTATTATCCGCGGGAGGCAATAGTTCATCGAGATGACAATCTGCCCAAACAAGTAAACTCTGCTCAAACAGACACTGACAGACGCGAAGCGTTTTTGAGGCGTTGCTATAAATGTTGTCGTGATTCGTTCCCGGTCATCGTTGTCATCGTCGTCGATGGCGGCGGCGGTGGCGTATCTACAAATTCAAGATTGGCCTGGTGGCATGGCAGAGTCACGTAAGAAAGTCGAGCTGAGCCTTGGTCCTAACTGCTAGCCAGTTAAGTCTCGTCTATGTTTCTCTTCCTTTTTTGGATCTTAAGTAATCGTCTGAGTTTGTTGCTGTCTGCTGTTCGAACACTTTGGCGGTTTTAATCTCCGTTTCTACCTCAATCTCAAGCTCTCTTTTTTTCTGCTACCCTATCAGCAGTATCGGGTGACGCGGCTACGCGTACGGAACCTTTCGGCGGTTTCACCCAGTTTCCTACTCGCGAATACAATGGCGGACTGTTGGCGGCCGGATTGTTGAAGACTGATCCGGTTTTTTGCTCGCTCTCTGGTTTTTTTGTCGAAACTCGTCGTAATTTCTCTTCTGTCCGTTCGTTCGTCCGTCCGTCCGTCTGTAGCGGGTGACACGGGACGACGGCGACAGCGGCAGTAACAGATGCTGCAGCTGCGACAGGGGCTCTTACACTTGTTCGCCTCTCAGATGTTTCGCAACTGTCGTCCGTCTAGCCAGCTCTGGCTTGCAGGAGCAGTGGTAAATAATAAGCAGAAGCAGCTCAACAGCCGCACAAATGCAGCTGCTGTTGCGCTCTCAATTTGGGGTCTGGCAGTAGGGCCATTGGTAGTTTCCGCTAGGATGTGTCTTGCTCACTTCCTATATATATTGCTTTATTTCCCGACGACGAACGGCCAAGACGACTTCCAGGGACCGCGCGCGGGTCTTAGCGGCAGCGGCAGCGACGGCTGCTTTGGCTAGTGAGAGAGTTCGGGCCAACGCTATACAGAAAGACTGACAGACACATAGGCAGCGTCCAGGCAGCGACTACCACAAAGAGAGAGAGGGGTACGAGTTCGAGAAGGCGAGGGCTCGCGAGCGCGCAAAAAGAGAGGGAGGGCAGATGAACGAAGGGCCGCCCGTAGGGCGCTTCATGGCACATCCGGTAACGCCGTCGACGGTACCAGGGAAAAGACGCAGGGAAACAGGCCAGTCGGCTCGGACGAGGAGGGCCGTCGATGGTCAGACAGGATCAGAAAAAGGTCTACCGATAATGGGAAAATGCGTTGGAAGCAGGGATCAGCCTGCAGCCAGCTGCTACCAAAGCCTATCAGCTGCACTAGGGGCAATGGAGGGCCTGGCGCCAGATAGTAACACTCCTCAAATCATATATATTTATTTCGTATGTCACGGAAACCAGGTGGGTCATTTAAAGATTTTTAGTTTTTCAGCTGAAAATAGAACATATTGTAGATTCGACGCTACATAGCTTTATGGACATTTTTTTTTCTAAATCTAGAATCCTTTCTTGATGTATCCTACGATCAACAAACATCGTGCAACCATAACGACGCTCGGTAGAAAGGCGACAGAACGATGTTTAGCGTACGTTGAATATATTAATATTAAATGATGCAAACTAAAGGCGGCAAAGCAATATTTCTTCGAACGTTTCCAAACGTCTTAATAAATATCGTTCTTTTTGTACTTTTTTGCCAAACGAAAAAGGTGCGGCCGTTGACAGAGGCAGAAAAACAGTAATTACCCTTCTGGTCATAGCCATGAGCGACTGCATTTCATTAAAGGCACTCAGTGCTGATAGGAAATGCTCTAATCGATTAGTCACAATTGACGCAGTCAGCGGGAATGCTGATTTAGCTGATTGAACATGAAACTAGCGGACCCTAAAACTGGGTTGGGCAATATTCCGCTTTCGGACTTACAAGTGACGAGATACGAAACGTTGATAATCGTATTTGGACATGTAGTAGCAATTCTGAGCGTAAACGTGCACGGTAATACACTTCTATAACGTTGGTTTATTATAATAGTTGCTGATTTATCCTTTATAATATCTCTATCGATTTTGTCGCAGTTCCTTGCTAGCGCCCCAATGAAGTCCACCGCGACGCGCAACATCCAGGTAACGGTCCGCTATTTTTACTTGCTGCGTTTCTAAGTACGCAAGCAATTATGTCGAGTACAAAAGCTAAACATTTCATAGATACACGTATCAATAACGAATTCTGTGATCAATCAAAGTTATATCTAACTAACATAGAAAACTCTTAGCCATAATGTGTACAATCCAGTCAAATTCTACTTCAGTGCCACGTGTCATATATCTACATACAGTTGTGCCATGTGCATCGCTGCATCTTCCACATGGCGCTTCTGTGCTGTTACTGCCGCTGCTGCTGCTGCTGCCAGCTGTGAAGGGCCGCCGTTTCGCCCAGTCTGGCCTGGCTTACTCTCTGCCTGTAGATGTACATACATATATACACGCATACATATCCCTCTGTGTTCCTACTAACTGTGGTGGAATATATATACTAGCTATGCTCTCCATTAGACTCTATCGTCGGATGGTAAAGCGCCCTCGGAACCATGTTGTCGTTATTCTAGTGGGAGCCTTGTGTCATTCAGCCAACCACCGGCTGTCTGTGGCCGCGTGTGCTGCGATTTTCAGACCCCTTCGGCCCTCGCCTCTCATCGGTTCCGGCAGCGGCTGCGCAAGGGACCCGTTCGGACCAGGCCTGTTTCGGCCCCTTCCACCCTTCCCTCTTTGTGGCTGGCTGTCCGCTCTCCGTATCCGCGGCGGAATATACTTAATCGTACCCCACCTTGTCCTTTTCCCTATACAAGCTACACACAGGCCCACTTGCACATACACATATGGACACGTACTCAACGGGCACTCACACAGCCACTGCCCCATTACCATCACCGCCATTGAACATTGCAGCCGTGGCCACAAACAGCGTCCGACCCGCTGTGCGACAGCGACATACAGCCGCCAACGCCAGCGAAACCTCACTAGTGCGAGAGAGCACCGCTAAAAGTGACATTTTCTCATAGGGTGACACGATTATCTCCTAGCATGGCCTTCGCAGATAACAAAAATTAGCGGCAACGTTTGCGATGCTATTGTCGTTTGTTGGTACCTCAGTCGTTTGGATATGAACGAGGTTTAATCAGGATTATTGGCTCTCATTTTTGGTAATGGTATTAAAAGTGGCGTTTCAAGAGTTAGATTTTTCCTTTCTATTAAGTATTCCTCTCAGGCCTAGACTATGGTCAACGTGTATGATAGTACCTGGTGTCTGTCCTTGTCTGGTTTGATGCTTTCATGCACTAACCCTGGCCGTTACATAGAGCACTTCCCAGTAACTTGGTCTAGAAGACAGCGCTGGGCTGGAATCTATCGGCCGAGATAGATCGCCACATCGTCGCCATTATTGAGACAAAAAGGAGAATACGACGGACGCAAGCCTCTGATACTCGGACCATTCGCTGAACTAATCATTCCATTGACTTGCACGTCATATGGAAACACTGCGGCACTAGAGAATAGTGCCATAATATATTGTTACCGCAGAATATCTATTGTCGTACCTACAATAATTACAGGCGACAAACATGATTGAATCTCGTAAATACGTCAATGATATCGCTCGCTTAACGAGACAAAAAAAAACTTTTCAGTTGTGCTACGTTTTCATTTTATTTGTACAGTGACTCATTTTTTACACACGCCCATCTATTGACCACCGACTACGGTGAATAAGGATAACAGCCAAAAAAACAACAATATTCTGTTGACGGCGTTTTCGTTCTGTGTTTATATCTGGCAACGTATTTAGTTTTCTCTACTTTATACCTACTTATATAGAATGTATTTCACCATCGCCTGCCGCCGTATTCCAAGAAGGGTAGACAAAACCGCCTCACCCTATCGAAAGCAGCGGGTGGTCTATGGAAAATTTTGAGCGCTATAGGCGGCCTGCTGGTCGTCGCGCCGCTGCTGTCTGTAGATAGATAGCATGAACGTGTGTGTCTGTAAAAGTGACTCTAAATCGGTGTTTGTTCGTTCGGCTGGTCTGTCTCGCTCCCTCAACAGACGGCTGCACGCAAGCGTGCGCCCGGCGAACGCTAGCTACTTGTACCACCGCCAGCGTCGACCGTCATCTGTGGGCAAATTTGCGTTTTGCTGCCGTTTTGTATGCACGAGAAGCCAGATTGGCGATTGTTGATCCAAGGGGTTCGCGTATCGGCGGTAGCAATGTTCATCGTTGCTTTGGCTATATGTGTCAGCGAAATGGAGCAGCTTTTCTCTACGTACGTATATGCATTTATATGTTTCGTCCGCTTGACAGCTGCTTATAGTTGTTGTTTATTAGATCGGATTATATTACGACGTTTGTGAGGAGGAGGAAAAGATCGGAGTCAGCGTCGTGTACCCCACCGCTAGCAGTAGCGGCAGCTGAGGCAGCAGCGGCCGGCAACGCGATGATACCGTTGCTGCCACAGGCGACAACGGCTGAAAACATGGCTATGGCCTCCACACGAATTACACCAGCATCCATAACTACCGCGGCGAGTGTAGGGCAAAACGAACGCGCGCTCAGAGCGTTCACGTTCTCTATTCACTGATATGCCGTTATCGGCAGCGGCAGTACGAAAACGTAACGTCACACAGTCAGCGTCATCTGGCATCTCCATCTCGCTTAGCACCAAAAAAGAGCAGCCGCAGAACCAGCTACCACAAGCGTTGCAACCACCGCTGCTGGCGCCACTGGAAGCCACAAAGTTTGTTGCTCGGAAAACGAGCGGTTGCCTCCTCTTGCCAGGGCTGCCGCCGCTCCTGCGTTCGTGGTTCATCGACTCTGTCGGTAATCGCTGGCGGCAGCGGATGAGTGGTGAGGTATAGCCTAAGTAGATTCATCAACCTGTGTCAGTGGTCTACTATGGCCGTGTGGGTCGAGGTGGAAAGCATTGCGGTAAGAAGCGATCCAGCATGGCTGAGGAAGAGGCCACGTGTACGCCGCCATGTGGCGACTGACTTAATGCCTAGCCGTTTCTCTTGCTGCTGTTAGAACATCCAACGAGTCAACGCGTAACAACAAGAAGAAAATGAGGGGAGAGAGTAGTGGGGTGGGCAGCGATGATGCCGTCAACGGTAGGCGCATGCCAACTGGCCGATTGCCGAAAGGACATAACGTTCAGTCCTAACGTAAACAGGAGCTGTATACGGCGGATCAGAACAAGATAGGAAGATATGTGATAGAGGCAGTTACTCTATAGGCCGAGTGGCCACCGGCAAAGGCGTTCGCGGACGATGATAGTTGAGGAAAGCTTCTTAGGTCGTGACAGCAACTGTAAAAGGGGCGACGTAGAGCTGGACACTGAAGGTTTTCGAAAACAATCGAAGGCAACACACATGACAAATAATAGGCGGGGCAATTCCGAAAAAGAGGGAAGGGCAAGGGAACTGACAGGTTGGCAAACAATAGTCCAATACCCATGCAGCAATGCAGTCCAAGCTTGTGGTCGAACTGCAGCAAATCGTAGAGCATGAGATAGTACGTAGCAGACATGTAGACTATGTGCGCTGGTCGTTAGCTGCGTGGCACTTTCGATATTGATCCGTGCTTTTTATTATACCCAAAATGTGAGAAAATATCAAAAAGGCTAGAGCAGAGGAATTGACGCTACCGCTGTACGAAAACTTAGCCAATATAGTTAAACTACGAACGGCGACGAAATTGTTGCTACCTTTTTACCTTTCGATTGTCGTTTGTTCTACCTTTTTTTTGCCATTAAAAGACGGTCACACATGAGGAGGAGAGGAAGGGAGCATAGAGAGAAAAAAAGGCGAAAACCGAGCAAACTGACGATGAAAGCGGCATTGTCAAAGGATGGACTCGCCGACAGAGCGAAGGCAAGAGGGGGCATGATGGCAAGTGGGCGTTCAATATAGC